GAATCCGACAAATATAGGACCGGATCCGACCGAAATTATTCCGAACTGGCGAGATCCGACTGGGGCCGTTTGACCTGGGTAATTTTTGAAAGTAAACAATATGTCAAAAACTTTTTTTTTTTGCTGGCAGCATTATATGATTATTTTTCTTCTCATATTATTAAATTAAGTCTCATTTTAGAAAATATAATTATTCAGTTTTCGAATCAGAATATCATCGGTGTAAGTTCAAAGATTTTTTCTTCTGAGAAAAATTCAGTACGAAAAATTTTATATTGAACGTTTGTTAATACTTTCAAAAATATTTATCCATTTTGATACAAAACTTTTGAAGCAAAAATCATCGGTAGTTTTTTTCTTATGGAAAATCTTTTGATGTGTGACATAAAAAATATTTTATTCTATTTATTAATTTAATATATTTGTTTTAGTCCGATTTATCTGTTCGAAAAACCGAATCAACACGTATAACAACTGTTCCACTTCATTTTCAAGAATATTCATCATCAAATACATATTCATTATATGGTGCTTATTTTAAACAATCAACAATTGCTTTACAAAATTGTCATTTAATTTCAAATGAAAAATTTTTTATATCAAATATATTTCAGATACATATTAAATTTGAACAAACAATTGGTACAAAATGTATTGAAAAATGTTTACATTCACAATTATATGAATGTTCATCATTAACTCATACATGTCAATGTCGTTTAACTGAATCATCTATTGAAAAATTTAATCATCTTTGTATTGATACAGAACTTCTATCAAATTGTTCATATACACCAGAACGTTGTCGTCGTTTATGTAATATACAAACACAAATTCATACAGGTAAAATTGATCATTATTGTCAATGTCCATTAGGTACACAACGTATATATTCAAATAATATATATCATTGTGAATTATCAAAATTAATTGAATGTAATAGTCAAATTTCAATAAAAACTTGTCCTCAATATTATATATGTGAAGAAAATCGATGTATACAAACATTAATTTCTCGTCATATAAATGAATCAATAATACCATTACCATTGATATTAATTGGTTTACTTATTGGTGCTTTATTAATTATTATTATACTTATAATGGGTCTTATTAAAATGCGTTCAATAAAATGTGTTAAATTTATTCATTCAAAAAATATTTTATCAACACATTCAATTAATTCATCACCAGCAACAATAACACGTTTATCAACAGTACCATCATCATCATCACCTTGTTCAACATTATCATCATCATCAAAATCAACAAATAAAGTATTAGAAAAATATACAAAAATTGATTTATTTGAATGACAATTTTCTTTTTGTGTTTTCAGTTTAATTGTAAATGTTTTTTGATTTTCTTTATTTAAATAAAGACTTTTATATATATATATATCATTTGATAAAGAATTTTGGATTATACAAAATTATCGAATTTGTTCTATTACGAAAAAATTGAACAGCAACTATCAGAAAATAAAACATATGTTTAAATAATAGTTTCGGCAAAAATTCAAAATATACTACTATCTACTGTTTCTGTCCTTGAAAAACGGAAAATCAAACTGTTACGACTCATTCTTTATATCTTTTAAGAAATATGACAATGTGCGGTTTATAACAGAAGACGTATTCACATATATATTTTTTTTTCTATAAAATAGTATAATTATTATAAGAGAACAAAATCTATTATTTGTTTAGTTTATTGTTATATCAATGTTCTTTAAATATCATATAATATAAATATAAAAAAGATTAAAGACAGAAGTTTGTTTTTACTAATAGAATAATTCTTCGTCCATGATCTAATCTAATATTAATTTATGTTTATGTTTTCATTGATGAAACAACTTATTAAATTAAATTATGAAAATATATCATATGAAGGCTATGAAAATTATTTGCAGATAATTCTCATGATTAAACTTCAATTTTTTTATTTTGACATTGTATCATCATAACAAAATCCTCATATGAACAAAGAAAAAGGAATTGGCTTTTTTTTTTGTTTTATTTCGACGAGATAAAAAAAAGAAAGTTAGATACAAAGTATTATCAAAAATAATCTTGATCACATCGAATAAATTTGATTTCAAATGTATAAAAATAAGATGTAATAGTCTTTAAGCTAATAGGCTTTATAAAACAAATCGGAAGATTTATAGACAAAAAAAATTCATTAAAAGTTATTTATTTTTTTTTGTTTTGCTGACAAGGTCAAACTGCTGCTTTTCATCAGTGAGCACTACGTTTCATTCATCTTCTTAAAATATTTTCTTGCATGTCAGAAGATTTTATCTGCGGCATGAAATAAAAGAAAGATGCATTGTTAATTGCTTTTTCATGTAGATCAAAAAATCGAGGTTTAGTCATTAAAAAACATCTTCAACAATTTTCATATTTGTTCTACTAAGTATTTTAATGTTAACTTAATTAGTCATTTTAACAAAGCAAAAAAAAAAAGAATATTAACATAAATTATTATTGAATTAGGTCATTACAATAAATTGTTCAGTCATCAGTTATGTTTCTATAGTATCTATCTAATTTTTTGTGTATATTAACGATTTTTAAATTGATTTATTTTTGCAAATAACATCCCAAAACGAACAATCGGACAAGATTCTGTGTCTGATCACATATGATATTGTACGATTTCATAAGATCGTATAAGATTTACTGTCAGATTTTTTGACTTGGGATTGTTTATATTCAATAGTAAAACAAGTTAGAAAGATGAAAAGGTATTAAACTATTAAGACATAATTAAAAAATCAGCTAGGTGGAAAATAAGATTAGATGATGTATACAACTAGAAATTTAATCTTACAAAAGAACTGCAATTCCCTAATGTATAATATCTTAAGAGGCTGGTAATTTTATCTTATTTTAGAATAAACAACTAACAAGTAAGATATAATTATTTGTGAATATATATATAATATAAACGATAGTTAAGAATGATTATTAGTCTTTTTTTTTGCTATTGATTTTTTCGAATATAAATGATCTTTATATAGACAAAAAAAAGCTTTTTTTTTCTTTTCTATGCATTTGTTTTAACCGTGGCCTAAGAACAGAACGACAAGAAAAAAAGAATGTAAATCAAGAGGAAAAATGTTTTTTTTTTTTTTTTTTCTTGTATAATGTAACCTAATGCCTTAGGTCAAAACGAACAGGAAAAGAAACGAACAATAAACAATATTTTGTAATACAAAAAAAAATCCATTAGACGCAATCAAAATAAATAACTATTATCAAGAAATATTTTTTTTTTCAAAATAATGTTATCACAACCTCTTAGTTCTTATAAAGTTCTTGATCTATCACGAGTACGTGCTGGACCAACAGCCGTTCGACAATTGAGTGATTGGGGTGCGCAAGTAATTAAAATTGAAATACCAAAAGATAATACCAATGATGATAATGATGAAACTGATACATCTGATTATCAAAATATTCAACGTAATAAACGTTCAATAGCAATTAATCTTAAACATAGTGATGGTTTACATATATTAAAACAACTTGTTAGTACAACTGATATATTTATTGAAAGTTTTCGACCTGATGTTAAACATCGTCTTGGTATTGATTATGAAACATTACGACAAATTAATCCACGATTAATTTATGGATCTATATCAGGTTTTGGTCAAACAGGTCCATATAAAAATCGACCTGGTTATGATCAAATTGTACAAGGTAAATTTATCAAATACTAAAGTTTTTATTACTTTGTTTTTCTTTTTGTTATTAAGGTATGGGTGGTTTTATGTCTGTAACAGGTTTACCTGGTCAAGGACCAGTTCGTGCTGGTATTCCTATAGCTGATCTTTCAACTGGTTTACTTCTTGCCAATGGTATATTAATTGCTCTATTGGAACGTCATTCATCAGGTCAAGGACAATGGATTGAAACATCATTACTTGCATCACAAATATTTATGTTAGATTTACAAGCAGCTCGATATCTTGTTGATGGACAAATACCAACACAAGCTGGTAATCATCATCCAACAACAATACCAACAGGTACTTTTCGTACACTTGATGGATATATAACAATAGCTGCATCTGAACAAGTCGAATTTCGAAATTTATGTAAAATATTAAATATAGAAAATTTAATAACAAATCCTAATTATCTTACACATGAAAAACGTTCTATTAATCGTGAACAATTAAATAATGAATTAGAAAAAATTTTCAATACAAAATCAACTAATTTTTGGATTGAAGAATTAAATAAAGCAAATATTGCATGTGGACCAATTAATCGTATTGATGAAACATTTGCTGATCCACAAGTAAAACATTTACAATTAACAACACATATAGAACATCCAAAACGTGGTACAATTGAACTTGTTGGACAACCAATAACAATGAGTCGTTCTCAATGGTTAATTCATCGAATAGCACCACGATGTGGAGAACATACAAGAGATATTCTTAATGAACTTGGATATAAAACGAATGAAATCGATGATCTTATCAGTCGACATGTTGTCTATGTTTCCTCTTCATCTGTTAAATGAATCTAATCGATCATATGTTTGCCGACTATAAAAGTTTCTATCAAAGTTATTCTTTTTGCTCTTTTCCTTCTTTTTTTTTCTTTCTCGAGCTCTCTATCTTTCTCTAAGTATTTCATCAAGAATAAACGAAACGGAGATGATAATATTGTTACGGAGGATGATCCTGACAGTCTTCTTCACGTCAACAACAATTGTGCCGCCAGTCACTATTGCCGTTCTTTTTTTTTTTTTTCTTCTTATAGTCGACATAAATGCAAATCAGTCTTCTTTACTCAAACATATAGAATACATCGTACATGATAATGACAGACTAGATAGTGTTGCTGAGTAGCAAATGATGATGATGATTTAACCTTCACCGATCAGATGCTACTTATTCTCTTGACTAATGATAATGAACATGTACACAGACTTATGGCTAATCAACAACACATTTATATATTGGTGATGATATGACTGAATCGACGGACAGTACAACAAGTATGTTACCGTTGTTCTCTTAGACATCCATACTCACACCTTCTCTCTCGTTTTCTTTTCTGTTTTAAATCATTAGATTTCATTTTGATGAGTGCTTGCATGTGTGTGATCGATACCGCCATTCATTTATTCTGTTGTGCCAGCAGCATTTGAATGAGACCTAACGAGTTATACCGCTTACATATACATATACACACACACAATCTTTCTTTTATATTTTTTTTTCACTTGTTTTCTATACGTACAAAATCAGGCTCGTAGTAAATGTAAAGTATTTTGAGTGTGTTTATGTATGTTGAAGAACAAAATAAAGGAAATGTTTTTCCTCATCTCATTTTCATTCTTCTTCTTCTTCTTCTACTTCATCCTTTTTTTGTTGTTTGAATAAAAGAATAAAAGAGAAAAGGGCAAGATAATGTTTCGTTTCTTATCGCTCTTATTCATCTCCATCTATCCTTATGTTCTTTACTGAGCACACATTATTGTACATACACCTTATGTCTTATATCATCTTTGCAATGATTTAGATTATAGACCAAGTGATCATAATAGTGACGATGATCCAATCGATTGGTTTGTGGTACTAAACCATCAAAAAGAACATGTTGGTGATGATTTTGGACTGTTTGATGATGATGATGATAGTCTAACCTTATTTGGTAAGATAATCAAAAGGATTAAATTAGCAGCAAAAAAAAAAAAAAAACCAAAAATTTCTCATCGAATATCTATCATTTTATTTTATGCACGAATAAAGAAAATGTGATTTGCCTTATTAAATACATATACATATATATATATATACATACATAAAATTATATCCATTGACTAGTAGTCATATCCGTTTACATTTTTCCATTCGTTTTTTTTTTTTTTTTTGTTAATTTAATCTTTTTTTTCAAAGTAATGTCATGTTTCCTATTTAATACAATAGATTTGAAATCTATACCTAAATCTGATCATGATTTAAGTATATTCGATGAATTAGAACATCAATGTGATGCTGTTTTACTTGCAACAAATATTCAACAAAATACAATAATATCAACACTTAATAATAATAATAATAATAATTCTTATTTATCTAATCAAGTAACAACAACAACAACAATGATGAATGATTATGAACGACGTTTTGAATGTTCACTTCAAAAATTAACTATACCTTCATGGTATATCAATACTATTCCATCACCTAAAATAGCAAGTAAACCAATGATTAATATAACAAATCAAGTTAATCAACAATCTCATCGTACTCCAGAAATAGTTCATGTACAACGTCCACGTAGTTATCGTTCATGTCGTTCATCATTAGGAACATCACCAACACCATCCATACATTCATGGCATCCAAATCATATAATGGATGGTATGAACTTTTCTTCTGTATTACCTTTATCACCATATACATCTTCTCGTCGACGTAATAAATATGAAAAAGGCATTGAACGTGTAATAAAATCAAGTCATTGGTATCGACCAACACAATTTGCTAATGATAAGAAAAATGATCATTTTTGTAAGTTTTTTTTTTTGTATAAGTTTAATTAAAAATAATGAGAAAGACAATCGAACCATATATGATCTCTTTCGATTAACAGATCTTTTATTAGAAGTTTCTATGCATGATATATATTCTTAATAGAGATCCTTATCAACCAGAAAATAAGAGGTTGTCTTTGTTCGTCTTGTTTTTTTTTTTTATATTTTATTATTCGACTGTAAATTGATACATTAACAATATGTAGAAAATAGATAAAAAAAAATAAAATTGCATGTTGTTTAATTCAGCGATTAAAACTAAGCATTACTTCATTAAATGAAAAGATTTATTCAAGGTTTTATTTTTTTGTTTTGTTTTTTTTCGATCATAAAAGATTAATTTTATAACGTATGTATTCATCAATATGATTACGCTTCCTGAAACAACTAGATATGATTCACCGTACTGTAACTGCTTAAGTGACCTTGCCTTTGGCAGTAATATATATATATATCACATTTGTTTGTGTTCTCGTAATCCATTAGTAAATGGAGGTAGTAATAGTCATAGGCGAGCCATCGTCATGTTGTTTTCTCATAATGTTCTTTTCTCCTTGTTTTGCTTATGTTGCTTCTATTTCTCATTAGATACGTTGATTGAGAACAAAAGTATGAAACTCGACTATTAGCAAATAAAAAAAAAAAAGCAAAAACTATAAATTTAGTTGTAACAGTATTTTATATACATTGTCGTATGATATTCATCCAATCCGATGGCTGCCTCATATATTGATAAAGCAATAAACAAGTATTTTCATATGTCCTATTTCATGGAGATGTAATAATAAAACACAAAAAAAAAATAACTAGTTAAATATGTGAGCCAATCGTCTATCTACTATTCTTCCTTTTTCAAGGTCTATTGATTGATGAAAAAACTTATTCCTGCTTTTTTTTTTGTTTTTTTATCTTCTACAGGTGGTACTACAAAAATATCATTCAATCAACCAGAAAAATTGAATTATAATCACTATGATATACCAAAAGTTTATTATGATGATAAAAATAATATTTCCAATGATATTAAAGAATATTTTATTTCTGATCAAAATATAACATCTAGATCATGTATTCAATCACAATCAAAATATTTGATTAACGATATTGATTTTGATAAGTTCGAAAACATGATTACTAGAAAGAAAAAAAGCAATAGCTTGATAACGAATGATAAGGTTAGTATGCGCATTTCTATGCATGTTTATGTCATTTTTCTTCTTCTGGTTTTTTTTTGTCGCTTCTACATACTCTACTAGTAACACACATATATATATATATAAAAAGAACAAAATGAAAGGAGGGAAAGAAAAAAAAAGTATTTTTCTTGTTGTTGTTGTTGTTGTTGTTTTACCATTCAGTTACTATATAGTACCATATATAATATTCGATTGTTTTGCCTTTTTAGCAACACGACAAAGATATTCAATCAAATGAATTTAAAAAAATGACTTTAACAAAGTAAGAAAAATCAATTTGTAATTGTATTTCATTTGTTATACTATGTCAGATTATATATATTGATAAATAGTTGATTTTTTTTATTGGATGATGTAAAACAAATACAATTCTATATTTACTAATAGATCTATTCACATAGAACAAAAAAGTAATTAAGAAACATGCAAAAACAAAACCTATGATGAGTAAACTTATGTTTATAATTAGATCAATCGAAACAACTGTTGTTAAAAATTCATTTTTGTTGACTATAAAATTGTTTTCCTTTTTTTTTTTCTTCTAGTGAGAAAATATCTTTTGGTCGTATCGAATTAGAAGAAATATCTGATGACGAAGAAAACGACAAACGATCGTTAACTAATAACATACATAAACTATCAACTGTAGAAGTCATTGATAATAAAGAAAATGATAGAAATACATTATTAGAACATATTGCTAGCAATTTAGTTGATTCAATATTAAATGATGCATTACTTTCAGAAAAACTTAACCATGATAATAATAATAATGATGATGATGATGATACAAATACAGGTGTTAGAGAATTATCTGATGATGAAGAGGGTCTTCGTGAGTTGGATGAAAATGATATGAATGGTACAGATGAATTTATTGTTTTTGCTACAAAAACAGATGCATCTGATCATGATGATGATAATGAAAATGAAAATGATAACAATAATCAAACATCGTCAATCGTACCTCGAGGTAGTCTTAATCGATTATATACATTTTCAAGAACAAATGATGATACATCAATTAATTCAAAAACACAATTGTCTAATCAAGTATGTATGAAAATAAATATTAAAAAAAAAAAAATAATATTTATGTCTAATGACAAAATTTTTCTTATGCATATATATCCTCTAAAATACTTGTAGTTCTAGTATAAATACACTTCTTAGAAAATAGAAAAAAAAAAGAAAAATCGTATGTATGGTAAGTAATCTTTGGACACATCACCAACTATCAGTTCTCTATTTGCTTTCTGTCTTGTTTGGCGTATGCGCATATAAAATCCATGTGTATTTTTTCCAAGGATTTCTATTGATTTATCTGGTCTACATGTCAAACTAATACAATCAACAAGTTCTATCAAAGAGAAAAAAAAAAAAAGAAAATCTCGATGATAAAGGATTTTTACTGTCTTCAAGTAGTTTTCTTTTGTTTGTGAATATAATTTTGTTCTTGTGGCTTATACAAACGTTATCGATGCTTTCTACCTCCACATGTCATTGATGATTAGTGCCAACAACTTCAAGGTAGAATTTTTTCTTGCTTACATACCTCTATACATATAAATACATGAATGCAAAACTGTTGTCTAAATAACCAGATCAATAGTTAATATAAAAAGATGGAAAGAACCATGCAAACAAACAAGAAATAAAGAACATATACACTGCTTTTTTTGTTGTGAAATATAAAACTCTATCATATTTATTCATTTATGTCCTCGAATAGATCATCTTTCGTTATAGATTGTCATTTTCCTTTATTTTCTAAGAGAAAAGTCATTCACATTGTTCCTATTTATTTTTATTTCTTTATAGGAGTCTACAACATCAGAATTAATGATTGTTGACAAGAATGCATTAAGAACTAATTCTCTTACCAATATAGATTCAAACCAATCAGTTAATACAATGATTAATCTTGATGATAACAATAATAGTTCTCATAGTTCATCTCCTGTATATCGTTCACATATACAAAAACGACATATTAATTTAGGTCGATATTATGATGGAATGTTACGTGGTACAAATAGTCAAATACCAATACATGATTTACGTTGTAATCTTGCTTTAAAAAATATAGATAAAATCGAATCAATTGAAGGTGTTAATGAAGAAACTATACGTCAAGGAAGAATTTTACTTGATAGTATACCAAATTCTATTGATATTAATACTCAATCAAATGAAAATGTTCAAAATGAGTAAGATTCTTGTGTTTTCCTTTCTTTTTTTTTTGTTGCTATTGTTTAATTCTATTTTTTTTCTATTGAATAGATCAATGCCTACTCGATCAATATTAAAAAACACTCGATTTTCATTAACAGATGAAATTAATGAAAAAAAATCTAATGATAATATAATAAAAATAGCAGAAAAAACTGAAATTTCTCCAAAAAAAATTATTACAACAACAATAACAGAAGAATATCGTCGAATACAACGACGAATTATTGAAGAATTCACTGAAGGTATTCTTTTTTTTCAATAGTTTTAAATTATTCTTTTGAAAAAAAAACAACAACCATCCTTTTTTTAATTTTCAATAGAATACAAAGATAAAATATGTCAAAATTTTGATTATTTAAAGCAACCAGAACAATATCATTATACTCAACAATCATTAATACCATCTGTTTCAATAAATGATCAATCACCATATGAATTATTATCCGAATGTTATTCAGGTTATTCTTTTATTCGAAGTGATTTTTTAACACCAATAACAACTCCATTAACATTAAATGTTTCATCATTACAATCGACAACTGATGAAGCTTATGAATCTGAACCAACAACAACATCACCACGTTCACCAACAATAAGTTCATCACCAACAACAACAACAACAATGACAACTTATGTTCATCCAAATCTTGTACATGAATTTGAATATCCATCACCACCACCACCTATACCTGATCGACGTCTTAAACCAGCTCATTTACGTCCACCACCTCCTATAAAACCTCGTTCTCATCAACAACAGAAGAATTCAAATGATTTTAATACAATAGATAAAATACAACTTTCACCATTAAAAGCTATTGAACATCTCATGACAACTACACCAAATGATTCAACATCATCTTCAGTACGAACATTAAGTAGTCGACATTATTGTGGTTCATTACCTTTATCTAATGAACTTGTAACATCATCAGAATCTCAAACGAAATTAAAACAAGATAGTAAAATAGACAATACTTTAAATTCATCAACAAATAATGATTATAATCAAAAAGATAATACATTAAGAAAATCAACAACATCATCAGTAAATAGAAATAGATCAAAAAAACCATCATCTACATATTTTGATGAAGCAACAAATGGTTTAGCTATTCGATTACTAGCACCCATGTCAGAAGGACCAGATTTAACAAATAAACAAACTCTCAATAGGTTAGTTATTTCTATAGGCAACAAAAAAACACACCAAAGAAATTGATAAATAACTCTTAAGTACCAGTTTTCTGCATTTAATTAAATAAATTTATATCCTTCATTGTTAATAAGAAGCAATAGTTTTTGACGAATAGTATAGGTCAAACAAATATATTCGTAAATGAAGCAATGTAACGTTCCATACTATACACTATTACAATCATATATATATATATTTGTAAGATTACATGCGGAGAAATAGAGTTGTTTATGTAAGGCAAAATACTGATTAATTTTCTTTCTATCATAGATAATCATCTTTCTTCATATAGTTGTATCGCGAGAAATAAATGGGTTCTATCTATTTCGTTCTTGTCAATGAATATTTTTAAATCATTATATATTAATGTAACACAATCAAGAGATGATCTATATATATATTTTTTTTTCTAGGTCATCAACTCCATCGTCTAGCAAACGAGTCGATGGAACGATAAAAAAACGACCGATATCGGAAAATGTATGTAACGATATCTATTTTAATATTTCTTTTTTCTAAATAATCATTTTGTTTTTTTTTTCTAGCTCCATTTGGATCGATCATCTATTTATGAAACATCGGTCTAAAATGTCTTTTCCGTTGTACAGTTTATGTAAATTTTGGGATGTTATTTTGTTTTGGCTTCAATACCACTATGTGGCAAATAAAAATCTTGATCATTATTCAATTTTTTGTTTTTTAGCAATCAATCCTATGTTGATTTTTCATTTTCTTCTTTCTTTTTTAACTATAGATTATTGAGTGTGTGTGTGTGTGTATGCGCTTGTATGATTTCTTTTTCTTTTTTAATAAGATACAGTGGTTTCTACACTGATGATTATCAAATATGACGAAGGATCCAATGCAACAGATAAAAGAAAATATTTCAATGTTTCTCTACTTGGAAATGAATGAAACAAGGTATATGATGATGTCATACTTGTCTACAGTGGATAAACACATCTGTTAATCGATCGATATTGAAAATCTTATAACAAACAATCGTTGATAAATTAAATATAGATAAAATGAACTGTTGCATATAGTTAATGTTTACGACTGACATCTATGTAAATGCATGAAACATACTGAATAATTGATTGTACTTTTTTTTTTGTACATAAAACTTAAAAATGAGCTATAATTACATTATTTTTCATTAACTAGTAGATTAAAATTAATATATAGAAATGAATAAATTGTCTAGACAATTGAATTGCTATGATAGGAATCATGGCTGATTGTAATCAAAAAGAACTATACAAATATATTGTTTCTTTTTAATTTAAAAATTTATTTTTCTAAAAACAAATAACAAGAATATTTTCATTTTGTAATACTTTATTAACATAAAAGAAATTAAATTAAAAGATTCAATCGATTCGTTCGCTTTTAGGAAATTCAAAAAAACAAATGTCTGTCTACGATAGTAAAGCAAATTATCATCCAGTATCAACGTTACCTGGTAGTTTACCTAATGGTAAGTCAATAGATGTGATTTTCTTTATTTTATACATCTATTTCTTTTAATATTATATAGGATCTTATCTTTTACCTGGTAATGGTTATTATAGGTATATTTACATAAAGAAACCTTTTCATGCTCTAATATTTGTTTTTTTTTTAATATGAACATAGTGTTGAAGGACGTTTACCTCGTATTCGTTATGATAGTCAAAAATTTCTCGATGATCCAAAATATGCTTATTCACAAAGTTATCGTATTGATGCAATGCAAGCATTGCGTAGTGCAAAAAAAGGTTTTTTTCAATTTTTATATTTTCGAAATGTTATATAATTATTTTAAAATAGGTACTAGTTTACCACGATACTATTCATATTATCCTCATTTTGAAGCGACACGTGAACGACATATATTTGTACCAAAATATTTTCCTAATGAAAATCCTTCATGTTATGAGCATAAAGGTTTTAAACATTTTAAAGAAGTATGAAAATTAAAAAAAAAAAAAATAATGTTTTACAAAATGTATTTCTTAATATTTTTCTTTTAGCAAGCTTCAAATTCAGGAACTTATGCACTTCGAAGTGTTAATAGTTTACCATCATTAGATTATGTAACTATACCAAAATCTGATCAACATGATGAAATTTATCGAACTTATCAAGCAAAAATGCCTTAGTAAGTTTATTTGATAATTTAAAAGAAATGAGTAAAATAATAAGTTTAATTTTCTTAGTGATATGATGATATTACGTGATGAACAATTGTATAAAACACCATATTCAAAAGATTGTATGACACGTAGTAAATCATTTATTACAAGTACAACACTTGTACCACGAGGATCTTAATTCAAATATGATCTGATAGTATAAACTTTCTTGCATAACCCGATGATATATATTTTTTTAAGATTCTTCTTTTTATTTTTCATTTATTCAAATAAAATCTATCTTATCAAGTATATTAGAAACAAAATATACACTTTTTTGGATGAAAATAAAATGAAGAACATGTACATACTTGGCGACACATATATCATTAATTACTAGTGTGTGATACATCATACCCCGTCAATGCTAGCTTCTTATGATTAGCTCCAAATGAATGATTAGGGTGTGGGTGTGGGTGTAGGTGTGGATTATTTTTTTCTCTACACCCACACACTCACATCACTGGTATCAATCTCCAATACTAACACCAACGAGTTTGTGCCATTTGTATCAGAGACAATTATTAACCGTTTTATCAGAAGAAACGTAATCCTGCTTCAAAGAATATATTTCAAGCGCATAAAAATATCAGTGTCTATGAACACACTTCGATTATATGTATGCTTGTAGAATGAATAGAAGAATACTTGACTTCTCGAACATATTGTGTATTTGAATTTTATCCGCTCATCTCCTATCATTATAGAAGGATAACTATAATGCTGAGAGAGGTAGTTCTATTATCATCCCATTTGACATATTATATCTGGTTGTGTATCGATAGCCTCAATGCTAGTTCCTTGGTGGCTTCTCACGTTTATACACAATCGATATGATCTTGTCGAACCGTATATTACTGGGCTGTGCTGAAAGTGTCATGCGTCTGCGACGAAAATAATGGAGAAAGACAAGTCTATTGAGGTTGAAGAAAGAGAGTACGAGTTCAAGTGTTCAATGTTTGAATGATGACAGAAAGACGATGATAAGAAAAATGGAAAGAACAATGATGACGATGTCTGTCCTTCAGAACCTTACCTATCAACAAGATTAATCCATGGACAAAGTGTCCGCGTTTTTCTCGATAGTTGGATATGGATCCAATTCATGACAAGTGACGTTTCGTATAGATTTTAGCCTTTTTCAAATTTTTTTTTCGTTTGGATTCAACATCCGTCCAATCCGTCTTCATATCGATAAAAAAACACTAAATGCAAACGAAAAGGATAAGTTTTCAGACAGCTATGAAGAAAGCAAGTGATGAAAGATTAGAGAAAAGGATATTTTATTCTTATATAGTGGACGAAAAAATAATTGTACACGGATAAACACTCCAACATTATCAGTACTAAATAAATAAAAATGTGATTCAAAGGAGCTGGAATAATGATGAAATGTTCCATTTAAAAGTCGTCCATAACGCTGAATCTAAATCTAAGTTTTTTTGGAAATTTTCTTGAATCCATGGTGTTGCTAGTTTCGATACTTTTTTCCATCGTCATTCAATTGTATCATTTGTGAATAAACTTCTTTGCTCATTGCGATTACATCTGTATCAATACCACCAACAATTAACTAAAACAATCGAAAAAAAAGAACATTTTCTAGAGTTTATATTTCAATTCTCAGGATGAAAAGAAACTGAGAATATTCGCAGGAATTATCTGAAATTTCAACAATTGAAAAGGTTTTCAAAAGATCTAATAAACACTTAGTGTCCTCTCTCGAGGAACATAAATCGAAATAACCCATTTTACTCAGTTTTCAATTCTGATTTATTTCATAAAAACTTCAGCTGCTCTCGTTCTTTTGAAGCAAGACTATTGACGAAAACTTTTTTCGACCACATTTTTATCTAAATTGAACGTCAAGAACGTAAAAAATAAAATTGATAAACTTAACGAACTATTGTACTAAGAACACAGAACCAGTTGAACACATTACGAAACGAGCGAATATCAAACTGTTGCTGTGACCTCTAAATGTAGTGTTCGTCAAGTTCCTCAGTTCTACCTTACGAGAAAACACTCCTATTGTCTGTTTCAAAGTAAAAGGCAGGTTGCCATTTTTTGAATAATTTTCTCTGGGTAGTAGATATAGATCTGCGGTTTTCACCATTCGATAAAGCAATGTTCAAGTCATCGGTTCGCATAATATTCATTAGGATGAAATATGCCTTTTTTTCATAGGAGCCTTTCTCCATTGACATTCTTTTCCTCGTGTACTTTCATAAATTTTCATAATAATCTCTGCCCAAATTACGCCAAAGTGTCGCTCAAATCACCCTTGTTTTTCGCTATAAAATTATCAGCATTTTTGAAAGTCCGCTTAAAAAAAGAGGTCGGCGAGATAATGAAAAATGTGGTAATTTGATAGCAAAACAAGGATGATTTGAACTACATTTTGGCGTAATATCAGTAGAGATTATTGTGAAAATTTATGAAAATACACAAGAAAAAGTATGTCAATCGAAAGACTCGTATGAAATAAAACACCTTTCATCCTAATGAATATTATACGAATCGATGACCTGAACATCGCTCTTTCGAATGATGAAAGTTACAGGCCTATATTTTTCACTCAGCGAAGTTTATTCAAAAAATGGCAACCTGTCTTTTATTTTGAAACGGACAATAGTTGTCTGATATCGTTCTCGCTCCTATTATGGCCATCCATAGGACTCATCATCATAAAAAAGCTCCAAAAGGGTTTGTGTTCTTGTTTACACTTAAGTTATAAAAGACAAGAGTTTGTTCTCTAAAACTTCAACATAAAATAATACACTTTTTGTGTCTAATATGTACTTAATTGTTTTCAGAATTTATTCTTAAACTCGCGCTGAATCTTAGAATCACTTCTAGCCTTGTAAAATATATTGCAAAATCTGAAAAGTAAGTTATGATCGAGGGAAAATAAAGGGAAACTTTTTAGAGACCTTTTCTTCATTTAGAGCTCGGTGACTTTTTTCTGAACATCCAGATATGTTCTTAACAATGGTGAAAAAATAACAAAATAAAGTCAAAAATTTTCTAGAAAATCAAAAAATGCTGCGAGCGGCTCTCGAGAGAGTACTGCTTGTATCTATAACAATAGTATTGAGGCAATTCAGAAACGTACAGCAAAGACAGTTGAGTGAGATCAAGTTATGTTCAGGATTATCCTATTTGAGGAGAATTCTTTTGTCTCCATCTTGATGATCACTTCGATTTTACTTCTACAGATGTTTAATGCATACCTTCGTTGAGTATTTGTATTAGTTAAATCTTGATATTTTTTCATGATTTCAATAACTTCTCCATCAGTTGTTTGTGGAAATGAATTGTAACATTGTCCAACAGCATAATAATCATATGGTGTTGTCAGACATATTATTTTATTAACTAATGGACGAATTTCCTCGACACCCTCGGCA